CCACAACTTCTCTGGGCAACCTGTTCCAGTGCCTCATCACCCTCTCAGTGAAATATTTCTTCCTTAGATCTAATCTAAATCTCCCCTCTTTCAGTTTAAAGCCATTGCCCCTTGTCCTATCACTACACGCCCTTGTCAAAAGCCCCTCTCCAGCTTTCCTGTAGGCCCCCTTTAGGTACTGGAAAGCTGCTATAAGATCACCCCGGAGCCTTCTCTTCTCCAGGCTGAACAGCCCCAACTCTCTCAGCCTGTCTTCATAGCAGAGGTGCTCCAGCCCTCGGATCATCTTCGTGGCCTCCTCTGGACCCGCTCCAGCAGCTCCACGTCCTTCTTGTGTTGGGGACTCCAGAGCTGAACGCAGTATTCCAGGTGGGGTCTCACGAGAGCAGAATCACCTCCCTCGACCTGCTGCCCACGCAGACCCTAAGCCTGACCTGCTGCTCCTGGCCACAGTTCTCATCTGTAGTACCATGCAGGAGGCAGCATCCTTCTGTAAGGTTCAGTTTAGGTGCCGAGGCAATCAAGGTTCTGACAGGACAAGGCAGGAGGGCAGGGAAAATGGCATGTACAATGCAGAAAAAATAGCAGTAACAGGAGCACTGGAAGAACTCGTCAAGGAGAAGCAGAAAGGCAGACAGAACAGCTGACAGGAAAAAAACCTCAGGCAAACTGAATGGTAACACAAGTGTAATTAGTGTAAATAAGAAGAATTAGCCTTAGCCATGCAAGCCTAGCCTCCAACCCAGCCATCCCAATTTCAAGTTTAAGAACTACCACAGCAGAAGAGAGATGGCTTCTACCAGCAAAAGAAATGCACATAACTTAATTCTCTTAAACATCACATTCACCAAAATAAAGGCAATTACTTCAGGTTCTTCTAAATGCCTTTCTTCCCCCTGCAGAAGTTAATTATCGTGTGTTTATTAGCAAATTATTAAAGATATTTGTCAAATGATCATTCTATCCTATGAATATGCAGTGACAAACACAATTTGCAAGAACAATACAAATGTTTCAGATTTTAAATATTCTAGTCTGATCTGAAGAGTAGACCTGCTAAATCTGTGTTTACTTTCAAATAATCAAATATTGTTGCAATTACAGACAGGTTCCAGCTGAAGACATCAATGAAACCTGTACAGCCAGCTGTAGAACAGAATTCAAACAGGGATGCAATACAAAGAAGTCAGACTTTTTTTTTTAAAAAAAAAAGTTGTTCTTTTTTCTGCTTGTTTGTTTCATTCCTCACTAAAGCCAGATGTTAAAACGCTGCCTGGAAAGTCCTGCTGGACTGTTTTAATGATTTGGAAAAGTTATTTCATATACAAGGTAGAGGCTTCACTGGTGCAGTTAATTCAAGGTATATCACAAGTCTCACCAAGAGACACAGAGTGCATTCTTTGCATAAATATCAGACACCAATTCCTATAATAACCTAATCAAGATTAATCTTCAACTTACAGTCGAAAAATCCCTGAGGAACAGTGCAGACAAACCCACAAAACTCTCACTACCCATACTCTGCCAACCATTAGAAACCATTCTTAAAAAGTTAAGACCTGCTTAAAAAAAAATAATAATTGGTTGAAGGGTGCTACATTATACCCAGATGTTCTTTTGCCAAGGCTGTCTCTCTAATTTCACAGATTTCTTCTCTCCTTTCTCGCACCAAACAATCCCAGGATTTCTCAGGCACCATCATATTCCCTTTTAGTCCTTCATTTAGCTAAAAATGAAAACATTTTCTCAGATTTAACAGATGCTCCTGTCCTCTGATCCCTGTGCAGCACTTCTATGAACTTGAAATACACTAAAAATCTTATTATATATTTTTATACAAGAAAATATCTGTATATATTCAAAGTTTTATATAGTGTTCCATGACAAATGTCACCATTTTACTGTGCAGTGACATTACTACTTGATGTCTCTCCTGATAAATCCTAAAGAACTGCTTGCCCTTATCACATTTGTGTAACTTCAGTGATCAATAATTCCACCAGTCTCAGCCTTCTACCTACAGGAGCCTCACATTAGGAACAAAAAAAAAAAGTTTTGTTCCATAAATTCACAGTTTTGCATTCTGTAGTCACATATTATCTCCACCACTCTAACTCTGTCACAGTTACAGAATACCACACTATTTCCTGCTCTGCATTATTCAAATCCTTCTCAGTGCTAAAAAGATTCAGTTTTGTTTTTATCAGAAAAAAAAATCGATCAGCACTATTATTATGCTGTGGTTTATACTTGCATGAACAAAAAATAATTGTAAAAAACATTAAAAATCTTAAATATAAGTATGCTACTTACCTGAGCACAAGCAAAGGAAGTTTTTGCACGTCTTTGGACATATGTCTGAGAAGAGCTGAAACATAATTCGACCAACTAGAAAACAAATAAAAAAATATTTAAGAGTTTTATAACTCGTTCTAATGATGTAAGAAAATCTGCGCATAAATAAATCAGCATGTTTGGAAAATATAGTTTTCTGAGAAAAAGTTATTTTATCAAGCAGAATAAGAAAGCATCTCAAATATGCACATATTAAAACACGTGGCAGGAAAGAACAATACCATAATTGTAACGGTATTACGTAATCTTCATTTTTGTTTACATCTAATATATTAAAAATTCTAACAATTCCATTTGGATTTGAACCTGGAAAGCCAAACTGATTTACTAAAATAGTTCATCCTGTCAATTCGCTGCTGGTTTGAGAAAGAAAAAGATTTGCCATAAATACAGGTCCTCAGAGAGCTGGAATAATTTCCCCCCAACCCACCCTCCCTCCCCCAGTACTATGTTTATACAAATACATTAGTAATTACATTTCCATGGTTCTCCCTGTGATCATTACCTAAAAAATCCAACTTACTGTGTTAAGGATTACAGACACGTTCGCACTCTTTGCCTAAAATCCCTTAGTTTAAAAAATAAAAAGAATAGATGAACTAAAGAGGAAAGATAAAAGGCAGGCAAGCCTTTTCCAAGTGCTATTTTCCAAGATACTGGGATGCATATTACTAAAGGAAAAAGAAAACACCAAACAACAAACCAAGCCCCAAATACATGAAAACTTTCCAAAAATACACAATTAGCAATGAAAAAGTTATCCCTATAGGTTGTGAAAGAAGCCATCAAAGCCACACTGTCAGCCAGCATTACAAGGGACCAGTAACAATCTGTCAATGAGCACTACCCTCTAGTGGTATACACTGGTAAGGCTTCAAAAATAATTTTAAAAGTAACTACCCCAGGAATTAATTCTTTTCTCTCACTTAAAGAGGAAAAAAGAAAATGACATTCAAATGTATTTTATTCAGTACTTCATCACGAAGAAAAATTCTGAGAGGCTCTTAAGAAACTGAGCTCAGTTTTGGGGCTTTGTCCAAACGTTTACAGCAGCCAGCGAGGGGAACTGTTGGTTCAAAAAGGGGAGGAAAAAAAAAAAAAAAATAACAGACCACCCGCATTTTGTACTCTTAGATAAAAAATTCAAGATGTCTTCAGGCGTTAAAATGCCTGCATTTCATTTCTCTGAGCATTCATCATTACAGCATTGAAATCCAAAGAAAGTGAGTAGGGACAAACTCCAAAGAATGAAGAAGCAGCGACTACTCAAAGGTCCCACTTTAAACAGTGGTAGGAAAAGGCAACTTTTTGGAGGTGAAGAAACCATTGTAAGTTATGTGGATTGAAGAGTCAAGCAGAGAACACAAAAGAATCATAGAAACATGGAATGGTTTGGGTTGGAAAGGACCTCAAAGATCATCCAGTTCCAACCCCCCTGCCATGGGCAGGGACACCCTCCACTACACCACGTTGCCCAAAGCACCATCCAACCTGGCCTTGAACACTTCCAGGGATGGGGCAGCCACAACTTCTCTAGGCAACCTGTTCCAGTGCCTCACCACCCTCAGAGGGAAACATTTTTTCCTTATATCTAATCTAAATCTGCCCTCTTTCAGTTTAAAGCCATTGCCTCTTGTTCCATCACTACATGCCCTTGTAAAAAGTCCCTCTCAGTACCTGCTGATCAACCAGCTTTACAAGCACAGCACTTCAGAAGAGCAGAAATCCCATTCCTCTGCTGCCAAAAAGCGCCAGCCTGAACAGGAACCAAGTGCTTTAGAAAGCCACGGACAGATCTCCTCTCTGTGAAATGACATGATGCCATTCAGAGAAAAAGTTGTCCAGAGCAGAGAAACACAGAACAGCTACTGCTTTCACCAGGGTGTCAGCTGCCTAGGTGTGCTAACTCCTAGGTGTTACTGCCTGTGGGCTCCAGAAGGGACTTTTGCCCTCAGACAGAAATTGCAGAAGTCTTCTGGTTGTAAGTTTCTGTCCTTGTGGTTTAATCCAGACACTGTCCCACTCCCAGGGAATGGGGAAGAGTGTTAAAATGGAAATCTCATGGGCTGAGATAAGAACAATTTAATAACTGAAATAAAATTAAAAGTAATAATGATAAAAATAGCAATAAAAATTATAATAATGATAATATATAAAATTATACTAATATATACAAATAAGTGAGCAGTGCAATTGCTCAGTACCTGCTGATCAACGTCCAACCCATCCCAGTTAGCGACTCCAAAACCAGCCAAGTCCCAAAATTGCAATCTCAGAAGAGTGAGAGGCCCAAAAAGGGATCCGAAAAAAGAATGGGAGAGAAACAGAACTCCAGAACCCCAACTTCCTGGGGCCAACCGTTGTCTATACACTGGGCATGACATGGAACATTCCATTGGCCAATCTGGCCTTCAATCCTAATTCTAATCTCAAATCCTCAACCAGGAGTTGCGGGCCCTTTGTCCCAGCCACCCTCTCCCCCACCTGTTGTGCTCCTGTACACTGGCAAAACACGGGAAGCTGGAAAGCCCTTGATGTCTCAGCACCAGCTATAAACATCAGCGGGTTATCAGCGTTCTTCTCATAACAAATCCCAGACTAAATCCAAAACACAGAGCTTTTCTAGCGACTAAAAGAAAAGTAACTCTGTCTCAGCCAAAACTGGGACAGTCCCACATACAAACCCCACCACATTTCGCACCTTAAGCGGCAGACATCACCACTTCTGCCTTCTGGTGGAAGAATGCCATGATAAGCTCTTGAAGATGTCAAGGTAGAAGATGGCAAAAGACATTCCTAACTAAGGCATCACCATTTCAACAGCATCTTTCTCTAGTGCTTTGTCAATAATAACGTCCGCCAGTTTCCCATGCCTTTCAGCTCCTACAAACCAACTGTAGATCCAGTTTAAAAGATGAGGTTATACAGGGGAGAGAGATCCTGAAGTACTGCTTACCCTGTTATATCCAGCTCTATAAAAAGTTGCCATATGCTTATAACACACAAACCACATACTGTGCATCCATCTGGTGGGTTAGTGTCTGTATTTTACCTAAGCTGCACGAATACCGTTATCACTGCAAGATAATATTTTCCACTGACAAACAATTAAATGTGTCAGAGAAAGACCAAACACATTTTCACACCTTGCTCAGATAAATATGGATGAAGTAACAGCTGTTAATAAAAAAAAAAACTAAATAAAAAGTATTTATACAAAGCATGTTTAGAACCTATGAATCTTTCTCTTACCTCTTCTCTCAAAAAGAAAAAAAAAAGGAAACACCTCATTTTAAACTTGGAGTTGAGGTATATGCTGACATCACACAGATAGAAAAAAACATTTGAAATGCAACTAATTTCCTCAGATTTAAACACCTCTTCTCTGAAATGATCCATCTTCACTGTATAGAGAAAATTCCCAATACTTTCTTCAGCTCCATGTCCCTGATACAAAGGTTATCTGATTAGAGAAGTTTTGTGTGACTAACCGTAAGGCTCGATTAGCACCTTAAGGCAAACAAACAAAAAAATTGCTAAGAAGAGTAACTCAAGGAGGTGAACTCTGCTCACAAACCTACCCAAGCCCCTCCGTCGGCCTTGGCCAAGAAACGAGCCCCCAGGGACACCTCACTTCTTCACTAAACCCCAAAATGCTGAGATTCTAACAACGAAACTCTCCCCTAACTTGAGATGCAAATCTTCCAGTACCACCAGAAATTTATACAAACCTTGAAAATCCTGATTTGAACACCTCAGCAGGTAGGACATGTCTATAATTTTAATTTAGTGTTGCTCTCAAGAGAGGACTGTTTCTCCCCAGCTCATAGCTAGGAAGACACGCTGGTCCGTACCACAGTGCAGATCTGACAGTGCCGTACTTTTTGTGCAAGCCAACACCACGGGAATTTATCCAACCACAACCTAACACTTACCTTTTATTTGTAAAACAAACTTTGTAAAGTATTCTTATTTGTTAGCAGGCTTTTAACTTGTTTTACAAAGATGTTTTTTGATAGAAATTAAGTGACAAAAGTAGTATTTACATCAGTGGTAATTACATACAGTAAGTGATGCACATGTAAAGTCTCAGATGTTTTGAAGCTTGATTTCATCGTGCTATCTGTAGCTAATGAGCGATATCAATTAGAGAAATCAGAAGGCATAACAACCAGAAATAATCCAATTCCAGAACTCTAGTTTCAAATTGAAAGATGAAAACCTCTTCTCTTATTTTTGAACCCTTCATCAATTTTTCAGCCAAGGAAGAACTTGATTCAAATTAGAAAGGTAAAAATTCAGGGTAGGAATATCCATGGTATATTGTAATAAGGGCTCCTGCTAGCAAAGTTCATTAAAATGATTATTGATTTCAAATGTTTACCCAATTATTTCCTCCAATTTAGCTGCTAAGCTTTTTAGAAACAACCTCTGGAGCAAAACACACATTGCTTAAACTTGTTTTCCATGGAAAACAAACTGTTTTGCTAGATTATGTTATGTTCAGGTCATAAAGCTGTCTGTTTCAGACAGACAGTCTCAAAATAAACCTAAATATATTGGTTTTGTCTTTCCCCAATTTCTTAGAGCAAACCAAGCAAGCGGCCACTGCAGCACTTCTCCCAGTACATCAACAGGAACATCAAAAGGAGAAAACATGGATTACAATCAGTAAGACAGTGATGCATATCCCTTACAGATGGAGTCTGCCAGAGGCCCAAAGGCTTAGATAGATTTGCGGGCAAGTTTAAATAACAGCTCACTAAAACGGCTGTATTTTAATTTTATTAATTTCTTTATCCCTAAATTTGTGAACACGAAGTCATATAAATTTAAAAAGACTCCCTTAAAGTAGAAATGAGGCTGCAGTTTCTAGAAAAATAAACCTTACCATTGAAAAAGAACAGATTTCATTTAAAACATCACTTAAAACATGGATGTCCCAATTCTCCTGAGTCTTGACACATTAACACTTTGTTAATGCCTCCTCACCCCACCTCAGACTCTTTCCAAGGAACGCCTCCATAAACTTCTTTCCCCAGCTCTCTATAAGCCTCATCTCCCACAAATACTACCCGAAGCTCCCTCCATTCTAATCTTCCACCATCTCCACAAAAGTAAACATACTCCAGTACTGCACACAACAAAAATTGACCATCTCCAGTTTCACAGAGAAACACAAGTGAGAGGCTACACTTGGTCTTCTCCCAGCAGAAGCGGCTGGTCAGTCTGGTCTTCCATTTACTAATCCAATTTGTTCTAGACCTCAAGGTAAGTCCTCAGGGTACTTCATTCTGCACTGACAACAACAATCCCAAAATACACCAAACTTCAGGCAAAAGTGACCAGAAGGAAAGAGGTAATGGAAGAACAGAGTGACTGATAAGGGAAGGGGCATACCGCAGGAAGGAAAGAAATTGAAGGGGAGTGAAGAAGTGAGCAAAGGGTCAAAAAGTAACAGAAGATGGAAGAAAGAAGTAAAAAAAGAGGAGAAGGAGGAAAATTCTTCTGTGCATAAGAATGAAAGCAAGCAAGAATGAGCAAATAGAACATACTTTATGAAGGACAAAGCCAGTGAGTGGGGCAGGGAGGAGAGGTGTGTGTAAAAAATCCTGGATGGCCACACCAACTATGTGACATCCTCATCAGACATCTGTTCTAATCATCACGGTACCTGAAAGACTGAAGCTCCACACATATTCTGCACCACAGAGTAAATACAGAATTATTTACATAGGCATCTGCTGCCACCCCAAAATTCTTGGCGTACTGGAAGTAGCTTACTCCTACATGCATGCTGCAGGTGTCCAAATCCATCGGTCAGGGGGTAGCCAGAAGAAGGGAGAGGTGCTGTCTGTGATAGTATCAAAATAAATGCTTAGTCCTGATATATTCTCCATTTGCTCTTTAAAAATTATGAACCACGATGTACATTCATTAAAAAATGCTTAACAAGCAACTTACCAAAAGCAGCCCAAGTTTAGACTTAAACACCAGCACAAAGCCTACAAAGTTTGCCCCGCTGCTAGAGGCACATACAAGCAGACACCAAGTTTTGTTCCAAGATTCTGTAGCTAAAATTAAAATGTGGACACAGAAGCTGTAATAAAGCTTCTGAAAGCACAACCAAAGCTATGATATCCACTGCTGTATTTTCTAAAGGATCTAGTTACAGAGTAAAACGGATCTGAACTCTGCAGTCACCTCCCCTCTCACATATGCATGCACACACAGCACCTTTTGCAGCTCCTCGTCATCTAGTCTGTGCACTGCTCTCTTCTTTTTAATTGCTACAGGTATCTTGACAAACGTTGGGTAAGGAAAGTCTGTGAGGGGAAAGCTAAGAGTTGGCAGCTGCGTGGGGGAACGTTTTTGGACTCCAAGCAACCTACACTGCTAAAAATGACACGGTTTTGTATTCTGCAGGCAAAGGGATGTCTCCAGTACTGTCAGAGGCGCGTCCTCTCACTCTGCATTTTGCAGAGAGATATTAGTTCAGCTTTTCAGTATAGACAGGGCAAGGGCAATGTCTTAACTCCTAGCTAGCAAGAAAACACAGAACTGTTCTTTCCCCGGTTCTTCTCCCTACGTCTAACTAAAATGTACAAAACATTAAAATGAACACACACATTAAAATGAACAAACAAATCAGCTTACTGTGTTAAAGTCGAATAAGAAAAACATTGTTTTTAAAATCTGCTGGCAGTTTAAAAGTTAAAATTAAAACCTCGCTAGTGCCAGCAGGAGAGTACATCTCTCAGAGTTAGCGCTTCGTGTCATCTGCTTTATCATTCACACTCGATTCAGCTTTTGAAGGTCATCTTACAGCTAAAAGAGCAATGTTTCAGCTTTTAAAATATCACCTCAAGTCCCAAGAAATAGTTGCACATAAAGTAGTAATTACATGCAAGTCCTGACACCAACATTTAACAAATCGGCACGTTTTCCTGCAAAAATACAAGTCATTAATCAGCTGTAATAAAAATTCAGAGCAAGGCTCTGAATTCGATATACAGCTGTGAGATTCCTGTTCCTTTAAAGAGAAAATAAATATAGACAGCCACGAACAGAGCCAAAGTCCCTGCATCTGCTCCAAGTAACGAAAGCCCTGCACCACCAAGAACACTAACGCTGCAATTCCTCTCTGGCACCGCTATCAGTCATCAAACCCAAGTAGATGTGAGGGAAAACAAGGTAATCCACTTTCACTCGTGATGAACGGCACCAGGCTGAGGAGGGGACGAGGCAGGCAACAAGACGTATTATGAAACGGGAGCAGGAACGTGCACAAAGAGAAAGAGCAGAAGAAAACAGCACAGGGAGAGGTTTCTTCAGATGCAGAGTCAAAATAAAAAACCCTACAAAGATAAAAAGCAAACGGGATGAAGAATGAGCTGTCTTTGATATAAACCAATCCCAAATTACCATTCCTGAACTGCAAACTTACCCAACCCGACATATTTTTAGTAGTCTCATTCCAAAGTAAATTTCAATTTAAAGCAAGAGGAAATGTTAAGCTCCATTTACATTAAGATTTTTCTCTTCAAAAAAAGGCATTCAGAAAAGGCACTGTTCATAACCCAAATAGGAGTTGCAACAGCAACAGATTTATAGATATGCCCCATATCAGGTCACTGAAGTTAGAACTGAATCTTTCTTTTGAAGTTTTGGTAAAAATAAAAAGCAAGCCAAATGGGTTACAGTTACATTTGAATGCAACCGAAATTTGAAAATGCAGAGATATAAACTCTTATTTCAAAGGTTTTCAGAGAAACATTGAAGCAGAAAATGAAAGTGAAAGCATAATGAAGCCATCATTTATTCATTTTTCTGAGAGACAAACAGTAGCAATATAAAGCACTGGGTATACCTGAGACAACTAACATGCATCGATTAATTTGTGCTCAAAAAGATGGGCAAGTAAATCCATCCAACCATTTTTACAGAGCGATGAAAACAGAGGAGGGAATCAAGTAGCTATTCCAGGATTAAAACTCAGTCTATTGCTTACAGGCGATTACACTTCCCATAGGGAAAATATGAGTTAAAAGAGGGATTATTTCATTGTTATTAAAAGGGTCACCTGACGAATTCTTCATTTACATTCAGAAGACTCAATTTAAGCAGGGGAGGAAAGGTTTAGATCAGATGATCTCCTCGGGTCCCTTCCCAACTTTAATAAATGTATGATTAAAAACAATTCTAGGAGTACCTCTCCAGTTTCCTCACAACTTGTCCCAATTTCCCACAGTTTATACAACTGCAATGAATAATACACATCCAGAGAGCGCTTCTAACACACAATGCTTTTTATCTTCCAAAATAGCGTGCGTTAGCCTTACCGAACCTATGGACGCGAACAAAAACCTATCTCAAAGGGGAATAAAAGGCATCCAGCACCACAGTAAACACCAAAAGTTACTAAAAACTAACTCAGAAAATAACACATCGACGGCCAAACTCATTGCTAACGGCTCGAGTCAGTCATTAAGGGAAAAAACGTGGGAAAAAAAAAAACCACAAACCAACAGAAACAAAAAACAACAAACAGCAGTTGGGCCGAGTGTCAGAGCCGCGAACCTCACCTGGCTCCCGGTTGATTTCGATCTCGAAGAAGCACTGGGGCCGGTCCTGCACGCCCATGGCCGCGGGCGGCCCCTCGGCCCCGCCA